AACAAAAATAATAATAATCTTAATTAATATTCATTAAAATTCTTCTCAGACTCCCCTGACTGAAGCTCAGGACACATTTCTCTAATTGTAATCTGTCATGGACTTTCACTGAAACCCCAATACATAAAATAGGTACCATAACTGTTTTATTGGCATAAGTATGTAAGTTTAATTTAAGGATCTACTTATTAAAAAGTAAATGAGACAAGTGTCATTTTGATGAGCACACTCATATCAAATCAGAAATTGCAGGGTTGCATTAACCTCAACCTCCATTCTTTTTTAAATTTTGTATTCCTTGCTCACTATGAAGAAAATTTGGATTCACACTCTGCATAATTGCAAATATTAACAATACTGTAGTATTTATTCCTCTACGTGTGTGCCAGTAGATACACATTTGAGGGAAGTTTAGTATAAAGTTAAATACTTCTGAATTAGTATCTAATCATGTTTGATAGGTGCTTACTATGGGATAGTTAATTATTTCAACTTTTCTCTCCCTGTGTATGATTTCTTCAAGAAATTTTGATTTTAATAATACTATCTTGTGTACTTGTTAGGTTATTCTTGTTTGAATGTCCTTAAAGTTTGGGTCCTTTGGTACTAAGCTATGGGGTTGATTGCTTTTAGCAATCACAGAAAGCATTTCAAACTCACTTAAAAGACTTAAATATCTCATTTGCCTTACATAAGTTGAGGGTCCCAAAGAGTTTTATTCACATAGAGTCAAGTAAAGGAAAATTAACCTTACATTTATAAAATATTCAAGTGACCTTATACCATAATAAAGACATGAGATTTTTACCAGCCTTGAAAAAATTTTGTGGAACATCAGGAAGTTTTAAAAATCCCCCATAACTGCAAATATTAGAAAAGTTAAAATGAGCTTTTCATTCACCTTTAATTAACTGTATATTGAGGGTTCATTTGAACAACCATTAGGATTATAAGTGTCCAGATGTGTACTATAAATATCCAGGCAAAACTAGATGTGGAAAATTCTGATTAAATATATATATTTATATTTATTTTACCTGATTAAATATATATATTTTTTAATCCGGGCATTTAGAGAAAGGCTTAAGGGCCAGGTATATGTTCAGAACATATTTTTTTCATTGTTATGCTTCCATGCCAAGTATAGTGCTTGGTATAGAGTAGATACTCACTATGTATTTGCTAAAAGAATGAGAGCTACTTTTCCAAGCTGCAGGCCATGACCCTGATTCTGGGTGATGCTCCTGGCTCTTTGAAATCAAATCAACCCAATAAATAATGACTTCAGACACACAGTGAAAGGTGCTGTGTACCCTCAGAGCTTCAAAACTTGACAGACAAGAAGGTTGTGTAGAGAGTAGTGGAAATAATTACAACAGTCAGTAAACCAGATGTGTCTTGGTTTGTACCTGTGTACTTGACACACTTACTCTTCACAACCAGATCTCCCAGGCCTGGTAAAAAGCTAATGTTTGACTGTTAAATGAGGAAGTTCCATGTCAGGTAGTTTAGCAGAGGAACCAAACCTAATGAAAAAAAGTACAATGAGTAGGAAGTAAGGAAGGCAACACAGCTGAGACCAACAGAAATGGGTGTCTTGGATGAATACTACTTGAACCTACCCCATTCTCCTCACTCTTTTCCGTGTTCTTCTAGTCTATTTCTCTATAATCCCTCTCTTTTAACTCTGCTTTTAAAGTACCTTTACTTAGGCATACCCCAGATTCCAAAGCTGCTAATTTACGTAGGACGTTTAAACTTCTGGGCTAGTAAGAGATTCACTTACTAAATGTTAACTTCTATTGACTTTTACTTGAGTGATCTATGTAACTAACTTAAGAAAATTAAGAAAGTTAGTGAAGGGCTAACATCACAGGATAAGTCTTTAATCCAGATAAGTCCTTCAAGCCAACATGTGTGTACCTTCTCCCTGGGCCAGCAAAGACTTCTCCATGAAACTCTGTGGTATCTCCAACTTGAGGCCATTCTTTCCAATGGGTGTCACATCTGATAGGATAAATGCTGGGAAATGACACCTAAGGACATTTGAGAAGAGAATAACGTTGAAAAACTTTCCCAAGTACCCTTTATGGTTTTGTGAACGATTCTAAGAATATTGGCATTCCAAGAACATGTTTATATTGATTTAGTAACTGCCTATTTCAAAAAGAATTTAAGACAACTCACAGTGAAAACCTAAGTGCAAGTAAGCCAAAACATTTAACACAAGTCAGAAACAGGAAACTAAATTTATCTTAAACTCTGTGGAGGCAATGGAACACAAAAGTTGGTGGTGAATTTTCTATTCACCAAAAAGATCAAGGAGAATACAATGGGTGTTGTATCTCTCAATTTCTAGCTGAAGAGAACTTACTAGTTCTTCAGGAACAATAAATATGTATGACAAAGAAAAGAAAAGAAAAAGAAGTAAACTATGGAACAGCTACAATGAATGGGATAATTTACATACATTATCACATTTAATTGTGGGCACAACCCTGTGAAGTAGATATTATTAATTATTTTTACAATTGAAGAAACTGAATCTCAAGAAAATTGAATTGAATTAACCAAAGTCACAACCAGTAAGTGTCAGAACTAGAACTTCAGTTCATGCCTATCTGATTCCATAGCTCATCTAACATACTCAGAAAAATGAGTAACCCCTACCTCTATCTCATCTGTACCTTCCAATTCAAAACATGCATACACACCCTTGCGCACATGCATGCACACACACACATGCACAATTTTTCCTTTTATAAGCAGGCTATACTCAGAAAGTATAACAGAGGAACTTCAGGAAAATGCCAGAAATAGCAGCTACAAGCTCAATAATCTCATTCTAATTATTATAGGGAAAGTGCAATTTCCCCATTTATGTGAAATATAAAATGCCTTTTTGTATACTTTTATAGCCAAATCTTAAGAAAAAAATAGACATGTCTAACTTGTTATTCGGTGTGATGCTCTTTACATTTTTATCTGTATGGGAACATCTGAGAATTATACTGAGACCACAACAGTGGGCTTCAGGGAGGAAAAGTAAATCATATGCAGGAAGACCAGTAAACTGGGTTTTTTCCTACTATAGCACCCCCAAATAAAGTGGCCCCATTTCAGAAAACAGTGTGCAAACCTTGCTTAACTCCAGCCTAGCATCACTTGCCAAAGAATCCCATGTGATAGTTTAGACCAGTAGAAAGAGTCAGTGACCTACCAGAGGGCTGGCTCTATGGGAGGAGCTGAGGTGTTTAGGACTGACAGAGCCCCTAGCCCTCAAAAGCAAAAATGGGCAAAGACTAGGCAAGTTATCCTTTTGGCAAGGCCTTCAGTCCAAGCAGGAAATCTGGTAGGAGTCCAGTCACATAGACAAAGTCTGAAAGATAGAGTTAAGGAAAGAAGTTTCAGAAGAGGGAGGCTCATTTCTTTTGGGTCTGAGCCAGGTAATATAGAAACTTCAGGATAGATGTCTGAGTTCCTACAGCTGTGTGGAGCTGGGTAAGTGGTGTCTAGAAATTGGCACACTATTTACTGGTAACTTACAACAAATTTTAAAATCAAAAAACTCTTATTCTCTGGCAAAGAAACACAGATAGATGAAGTGACTTGCGCAAGTGTCAACCTGTGGCAAATTCATGACCAGAACCCATATTCTGTGGGTTTTCTTCTAAAACGCCCTTGACCCATTTCTGTGGGTGACTCCGCAATGGAGGAAGCAAGCTTGGAGGGGGTGGCTGTCATGTTTTCGGTCTTTCATTGATCCGTTTGTATGATACCACACCCATCTGACTGGCTGCATCACACAGGGGTCCTACAGAAGCAGTACGCCCTGGCTGCCTTAACATTTCAAATAGACATAAGTGTAAGTTAACTCAAATGTGGTCTAATTTGAAGTTCCTCCATGAACCATCTACATTTCAATTATCTGGACAAAAAATTCATGATGGCTTTTAGCTATATTGAATAGCAACAGCAAGGTTGACCCAAAATTTAGGAAATCCTAAAATTACATTATTAAGCACTGTGTAATGCCCCTCCCCTCTACCTCAAAGCGCATTTAAATGGATTTATTTTTACTGACAGAGGAAAGTCAACATGAGAATTAAAATCTACATATGACACCCAAAAAAACTAAGACACACACAGAGAAGCAGGAATTGAGTGTCTGGCCCATTATATACTGGGAATTTTATAAAATAATATAGAATTGTATTCAGTTTAAATTGAGTGGCACTTGTCACAAGCTATTATTTAATCTCTTCTATCAGATTTAAATCAGTTGCTGAATAGGTTGTCAAAACAGTAATGCTATTAGAAACTTTATGTTTGCATTGTAAACTTTGGCACAATTTCCATTTCTGAAAACATAGCTATACTTTTAAATTATGTTTGCTGTTCTCCTTCTCTTTCTCTATTTTCAGTGCTTATCAAAATATTTAGTATTAATAGTGTGCATGTGAAACATAAATATTCCACGTACTGTTAGCGAAGAGCACCCTCTGGTCTATGACATTTACAAATACCATGGCTATTTCATGATCATTCTTTTTACTAATTCCAATGAAGAAGTATACCAGAGACAGCACTCCAAATGGACTTGAGATTCCTTCAGAAGGTTGTCTTTCTAGATGTACCACCTTTCATTAGTTATGTCTTACTAATTGTCACATTTGCATTCTATATGTGCACAGTATGATGCTACCTCACATAATGCAGGGAATGAAAAGGAGTGTGAAACATAGGCATCACATTTTAATGAGACAGCATTTGTGTTGAGTCTGAATGCCTGCAGTTAATTCAGAGAACAAGTATTTGAGTTAAAATTCTGACATGTTTCGCAAACCAAGTATTCATTGAGGTAGGCGAGGCAGAAGCATTGTAAGAACTCGTGTGACAATGACTACACTCGCAGTTCTGTGAGCAAGAAATATACTTTATTTCTCAGGTGGCAGTACCCTGTGCACTGGTAGTATGAAACTCTTTATTTTTTTCCTCAGGTCCTAAAGGGTTTCCCAGAATGTTTACAAGCTGACATTTGTCTACATCTCAACCAGACTTTGCTGCAAAACTGCAAAGCCTTTCGGGGGGCAAGTAAAGGTTGCCTTAGAGCTTTGGCAATGAAGTTCAAGACGACCCATGCACCTCCAGGAGACACCCTGGTTCACTGTGGGGATGTCCTCACTGCACTTTATTTCTTATCCAGAGGCTCCATTGAAATCCTCAAAGATGACATTGTGGTAGCTATTCTGGGTGAGTGTTTCAGAACCGGATGGTGACAAATTCAGGTATTAGCTGGTGCGATACGTAGTTTAAAACAATAGAAAACAGGACCGATCCATTTATTTGTGAGTACAAGACTGATAGGTCATTTTATTTTATTTTTTTATCATGTTATATTAATCACCATACATTACATCATTAGTTTTTGATGTAGTGTTCCATGATTCATTGTTTGCGTGTAACACCCAGTGCTCCATGCAGAATGTGCCCTCTTTGATACCCATCACCAGGCTAACCCATCCCCCCACCCCCCTCCCCTCTGGAACCCTGTTTGTTTCTCAGAGTCCATAATCTCTCATGGTTCGTCTCCCCCTCCGATTTCCCCCCTTCATTCTTCCCTTCCTGCTATCTTCTTCTTTTTTTTTCTAACATGTAATGTATTATTTATTTCAGAGGTACTGAGAGGTCATTTTAAAGCTTTATTTAGAATTCAATCCAAATCAAATTGACCTTGCAGAAAGTATGTTTTCATGACTGTCTCACTTTTTCTCTGATGTGTAAACACTTCCATGACTCTCTTTAGTTCTTGGCAGCTACTTAAGCGTTTGAGGCCAAATATATGAAAACAGTCAGCATTTTGCTTTTCATGTTGGAGAACCTTGGATTCATGCTGGATCCCTTAACACCTTAAATAAAATGTATACATTGTAAGATATTTGCAAGCATGTGCCAGTGCCCCATCGTGAACTGTGTTTATGTGTTGATAAATTTCATCTATTCGCTCTGCACTTTTACCTGCTGTGTCCTATCAAATGGAATTATATGAGTCCTTACCTAAGTCATATAAAAAGCTATGAACTTATAGAGATAAAGGTGGTGAGGAGATTAAAATTACTAGTAAATTAAACTGGTTTGGGTGCAAAAGAAAGTCCATCTGTCCAATCTGTCTGTTCAAAACCAAATTTAGTCAGTGTGAACTTGTAGGATTTCTTCAGAATATTAGAACAGTGGGAGAGAGGAAAGAAGCAGAGAGAAAGATCAGTTTTTCTCCCCAACACCTCACCAGGAGATTTAAGCCTCAGCGTCCCCATGGGAACACCCACCCCCAATATTTGTGAACATAGGCACTTCTTTGTTTTCCTGTGGATTAAACCCAGGTCCATTTAAATAATGAGCATGTAACTCAATGATTTCCTTCCACTAGATTCTTGATATTAACATCCAAAAAAGGACAAGGATGTTGTCTGTTTTCTTTGCTGCTGTGTAAAACCAGAGTATGGCCTAGCACAGGATGAAGAAGTTTGAGTAATTCCTATATATCTTGATAATTTTGTTATAGTGACAGTTTTCTTTAAACCCGAAATTGACAAGATGCACAATTTGGTTTACGATTCAACAATCAGGCAAAGAATAAAAACATAAATCAGGTAGCAGCTACATAATAAACTTGGACTTTCACCAAGTTTGGCCTCAACAGTTTGCTCTGTATGTTGCCAGGGAAGAAGCATGCTTCATTGCATTCCTGATCTTAGAATCAGCCTGCCCCAGCTTCTACAGGGAGGTAACAAGCCCTCTCGCCTTATAAAAAAGTAATTTTAGAGTGTAGTTAAGCAGTACACACTGGCTGGCTTAGTTTTTGCTCATTTACAGTGATGTAAACTAATTAAAATGCAAAGCTCATGCTGAATTTAGTTGAGAGCTTTTCTTTGATAATATCTATGCCGAAGTATTAAAACTATGAAGAATTTCAAGATTCTTTTTTTCTGTCCCCATTTCTATGTAAATCTGCACCTAAAATCCTCACAAATTATGATTATTCATTCCATGTTTGAAGCGAGGTATTTATTTAAAACAAAGTTAATGTATTCTCTCCCATATCAATTTCTGTCATAGAGATATGATCTCTGATTTCTCCCCATTAAATTCACATTTAAAATAAGAACATTACAGATATTTTTGACCAATTGGAATTTTATTGTTTAAAAGTCTTTGATAGTTTCCATAGTCAGGTATATATAAACTTGTCTATCAAAAACTAACAGATCCAGAAAGTTGTTTTCTAAATCTGAAAAGAAGCTTCATGATATATGTAAGAAAGTACCATTTTACAACTACCGTTGACGATCTTTAAAAGTTATATGATCAATAATCTATCAGTTATTATTAAGCACGTATTCTGAAATTTTTAGGTGCCTTGACATTCAGAGACAGAAAAATCTAAGTGGCCATGACATTCAGGTAAAACACTGGGAGGAGATTAAACTTACCAAGTGTGAAAAGATGTTGACTGGAGTCAGAATGCAAGGGATTTAATCATGGCTACTCTCTCCCTCCCTTCACCCAACTAAGTAGGTGACCTTGACCTAATCAGTTTACCTCTTTAATAGTCAAAATATTTAGATAATAAGTAGTAATTTCTTTATGAGGTTATTTTAGGGATTAAATGAGATAATTCACCTAAGCATTTGACACAGCACCTGGCACCTACTTAAATCTCAAATAAGCACTTTTTGTTGCTGTCATCATCCTCATTAGTGAACAAAGCCTGGAAAGGCAGGTGGCCTGTGGCTAGGCAGAGGGGATGAGGAGGACCCCTCAGAAGCCAGATACTGAAATAATCCCAGGTTTGGCAAGAAAGCAAGGACACGCTTTTAGAATAAAGGCCATTTGGTAAAAAGGCAAGACTATAAATAAAACTAGATTTGTTAAACAATTGGAAAATTCATCAAGGGCAAATCCAAAAGTGGTTACTAAAGGAAGTAAGGTATGTTCAAATTATACCCCTAGTCCTCTTAGTGTTGAAAGCGTTCCACTATACCCCTGGGCTTGGCATCACCCACCCCCTTCCCGAGACCATCCTGAGATAGAAAGTTTGTGAATCTGACTCACTGCCACCTTTTTCATATTCCTGGATTGACAAAATTAGACCACACCCATTATATGGCAAGACCCTTTGCTAGCCATATAGGGTAGAGCAGACTAAAGTCATGTTTGCTGCATTTCTAGAGACTTAGCCAAAAATCAAAACAAGGAAATAATAGGAATTATACCAGGACCAGTATGTTAAGAGGTAAAATTCCACTCAGCAAACAAACATGACTGAAGCAGTCAGTAGAAGGTACTGGAATTTTGCTGCCCAAGTGTCTGTTGGTCATGGGATCTTCCATTTGAAGTCTTTGGAATCCAGTCCAAGGATTGGTCAGTGGTCCCCTTGTACTTTTAGAAAGAAAACATTAAGTTCAGACTCCTTTTACCTCTTTCTTTTTTTTAGGAAAAAACGATATATTTGGAGAAATGGTTCATCTTTATGCTAAACCTGGAAAGTCTAATGCAGATGTGAGAGCTCTCACATACTGTGACTTGCATAAGATCCAGAGAGAAGACTTGTTAGAAGTTTTGGATATGTATCCCGAGTTTTCCGATCACTTTCTCACAAACCTAGAGTTGACTTTTAACCTAAGACATGAGAGTGCAAAGGTATATGTTAATGGTTTGCTTATTTTTGTACTTATGACATTTTATTTTATTCTTGGATCGCCAAAATACTTCTGAATGATCAAGCCAAATAGAGCAAAACTTTACCAATTCTGAATATTTGGAAGGAAAAGCCAACTTCATGTTGGAACTGCTAAGTCAGAGGGAAGGAATTCAGTCTAATTACTTCCAAATATACTAACTTTTAAGGAGGTCAATTAAATTTGACCTTTCAGGAACTCTTAGGTGACACCCTGGATTTAAAATAGCCTTGGGTTATACTGAATGTACCAGTTCTTTGTAAGAAATGGGTGATCCTAGGCTGTTGAAAGTCAACTAGAAGAGCTTATTTTACACAAGGGTTAAAATATTCTCCCAGCTATTATTTACACCACACACTGGTTAGCAAGGTCTTTTCAATAATAATGAAAAAAATTAAACTCATTCAAGCTTAGGTCTGCATTTCACACAATTTCCAAATCACAGAAGTATAAATTAATCAGGCTTCAACCTGAGTCAAAATTAGTGTAGCCCTTGCATCCCTCACTCTCTTCTACTATAAAAATGTGTCTTTATGACTTATCACTATTCTAAGAATACAGAATTGCAGCCTACAATTTTCCTGCTAGTTTATTCCTCCCCCTTTTCTCCCCAAACCCCATTATCCCAGCTCTGATTCTAAATAGCTTTTTGCCAGAAACCAAATGTTGGGCTTTTGACACTTACAAGTTTTCTTTTTTAATGCTAACTAATATGCTCTCTGGGAGAAAAAAAATCCTCAAGTCAATAGTTAGGTAAAAGGTAGTAGATTTAATTCTCCCAGAGTTACAGTCATTCCAAGCTACTGTGACAGACTGAAAGAGGATAAACTTGTGCGGTCACCCGGGTACCATTTAATAACCTGAAGGATGAGCTCAGATAATTGCTTCTCTTCAAAATACTGAGAAGTTGAAAAATATCTAGATGATAAGAGGTTCAAGTTATCAAAAGCATATGCTTTTTATGCATTCAATACCTTATTAAAATCTCATTTTCATGTCACCAACCTCATTCCGATTTTGCCTTGAAAAACAACAAGATAACTTCTTTACATAAAAAGTTTGGACAGTGACCAAATAAAACAGGAGCTTCCACTGGTTTTATTTATTTCGGAGCTTCCATTTTTATTACAGAATGATCATATTTTCCAGAGGGGGAGGAAGGAGGAACTGGGAATACAACAATAGCTCAAAATAATAAAATGTCTAAAGCATAGTGTTCATTGAATTTAACCTTATATTTATTGTTGTGAAATTTAACTTTGCAACCATTACCATGTATTTAAACAGCACAGCTAGTTATAATTAACTTCTACTTTTTTCTCTGCAGTAATACAGATTCTGCAATTTTTTAATTATTATTTTTATTTTAACTTTACCAAGTTACAGAAAATACATTCCACACAAAAGAATATGTTGTCTCTAAATGTTGACAACATTATTCCCAAATACTTCTGACAAATAACTTCTACAACTATGATTTCCTCATCAGATGGTGAAACTACTAGAATTATTCTATCAGTCCATTTTATAATTTAGAGACAACCAGGAAGCCAAGTATTGTAGCTGTTTGCCTGCAATCTAATAATTAAGTCTCAAGTGGTTGAAATGATGTGAAATTGTAAAGAATTTACTGACAGTACCTTATGTTCAAATCGAATAATCTTCCATTTTATCTTCATGTCCATTAACAAAGGCTGATCTCTTACTACGATCACAGTCCGTGAATGACTCTGAAGGAGACAACTGTAAACTACGAAGAAGGAAATTCTCATTTGATAGTGAGGGAGACAAAGGTAATTCATTTTATTTCTAAAGTTTAAATGTACAGCATGTGGTTATTAGCTCTTCTTACTAAATACTCATTTACCACTGATTTCAAGGGTGAGTTTCATTCAGATTTTAGAAAGGCAAATCTTTTGCTTTTTTCAGGAGCTAATGACAGGGTTACTGTTTGATAGCTCTCAAAGATGTCATTCAGCAAAGCCATCTGAGATCTACAGAGACATCACAGATAGAGATATAGAGTAGGTTGGTTAAAAAAAGAAAAAGAGGGGGAAAAAAGGTGGCCAATTAATAGCAGTTGAATACTACACTCGGAGTCCTGAACAGAGTGTTCTGGAGGGAGGACCTTTGTTGCACCCTGAGTGCTTCATCTTCTCACGTGTATCATGTGGATAAAGGTAGTATTTGTTAGACCTCTTCATCCTCACACTCTCTGATGGACTTGCCACTCCTTGTCCTTTCTGGGTTTTTCTGACCCTCTAACTACTCTTTATGTTTTACTCATGTATTCAATGAATGTTTAACATTTCACATTTTTAAAGAACTACTCAATTTCTGAAAAACTAATTGTGTAAAACAGCCCCACGCTTCCCTAGGAAGGGAGATGGCACACCCTTTGTAATGTTGAGTAAAAATAGTGGATGTGTACTAGAATAACCTCATACCTCAATGGAAACCCAGATGAAGGTACATTTAATTATGCTTGGGCAGATGAGAGAAGGTTTTCCTGAAGAAGTCTCCATTCTTGCCCCAGGCTGATCCAACAAGCGTTCTAGTCTAAAATTTGGCTCTCAGCAGAACAAGCCCCCTTGTTTTCTTGAATACTCTTCTCTTGGCATCTGTGATATTGCACTCTTCCGATTTTCCTTTAGTGCTCAGTAATTCCCTGAAGAGAATTACAGGATCATTATCTTCTAAACCAGTTATTAGTTATTAGAATTTCTAATTTCCCCTTCCCTCAACAACCCTAACCTGTCCTTCTCTTCGCAGCTCCTCTGTTTTGCAGCACTAATTCCAGTTGTACTTCTCTGTCTATTTGCATCATTATTTAATCAATGTTGTTTGCCCCTAGACTCTCAACTCCATGGAGATGGGAAATATTTAGTCATCTGTAACTTCAGTGCTTGTCTCATAGCAAGTATTCAGCAAATATTTGTTGAAAAAGTGAATGAATTAATGAAATAGAATTTGAGCGTCTTCCTTTTGATTCTCTTCCTCCTTTTGCCTTCTTCATCCAAATTCTCTCCTTGGCCCCTTTCTCTCTGAATTCTCTCCCTAGGGCAGCTCATCTACTAGCTTCAGCTTACTCTACACTTCAAGTAAACTAAACTGCCCTCTATTCCATGTAAATCATTTCTGTCTCTTTGCTTATATCATTCCTTTAATCAGAATTTACCTCCCTATAGTCAAACACAGGCACAGGCCACCACACCACACCACTTTTTCATCAACCAAAATTACCTTTTTCTTGTCATGGTTACTCTCCAGGGATATATTCAACATAAACTCTTTTTTAAAGAAGAAATTGGCTTTGGAAGCAATTCATGAATTGGGAAGCATCTTATCTAGGAAGTAGAGAGATGCTCCTCAATATGAACTCTTTTCTTGATTTCCCCAAATATGTAGATTTTCTTTCTTTTATGAATTCCATGTCACTTTCCTTTGGTGATACCGTCAAAATCTGCCCTGCACAGTGGTTAATGTTTATTGTCCTTTTTCTCTATCAAACTGCAGATTCCTTTAACAAAGAATGGTTGCTACATATTTGTTGAATTGGGCTAATTGTTGAGTCCTCTGGCTGATTGCAGAACAATAAACCACTCAAATAGTGTGATAATTTATTTCTGTGGCATCTTTCATTATTCTCTTCGTAACTTTTTCTAAAATCAGAACCATTACTCTCAAGCTGTTCTTCGGTAGGCTTAATCAAAATCCTTTATCCTGAAGTTAATCTCTTATTTTTCTCTGGCTGGATATGAAGAACAACTTGAAAGTGTTGTCTATACAATAATATTCCCGGTACACTTGAAGATTTCTTTTTAATTTTTTATTGTTATGTTAATCACCATATATTACATCATTAGTTTTTGATGTAGTGTTCCATGATTCATTGTTTGTGCATAACACCCAGTGCTCCACGCAGAATGTGCCCTCTTTAATACCCATCACCAGGCTAACCCATTCCCCCATCCCCTCCCCTCTAGAACCCTCAGTTTGTTTTTCAGAGTCCATCGTCTCTCATGGTTCGTCTCCCCCTCCGACTTACTCCCCTTCATTCTTCCCCTCCGCTATCTTCTTCTTTTTCTTTTTTCTCAACATATGTTGCATTATTTGTTTCAGAAGTACAGATCTGTGATTCAACACTCTTGCACAATTCACAGCACTCACCATAGCACATACCCTCCCCAGTGTCTATCACCCAGCCACCCCATCCCTCCCACCCCCCACCACTCCAGCAACCCTCAGTTTGTTTCCTGAGATTAAGAATTCCTCATATCAGTGAGGTCATATGATACATGTCTTTCTCTGATTGACTTATTTCACTCACCATAACACCCTCCAGTTCCATCCACGTCGTTGCAAATGGCAAGATGTCATTCCGTTTTATGGCTGCATAATATTCCATTTTGTATATATACCACTTCTTCTTTATCCATTCATCTGGCGATGGACATCTTGGCTCTTTCCACAGTTTGGCTATTGTGGACATTGCTGCTATAAACATTGGGGTGCACGTACCCCTTCAGATCCCTACATTTGTATCTTTGGGGTAAATACCCAGTAGTGCAATTGCTGGATCGTAGGCTAGCTCTATTTTCAACTGTTTGAGGAACCTCCATACTGTTTTCCAGAGAGGTTGCACCAGCTTGCATTCCCACCAACAGTGTAGGAGGGTTCCCCTTTCTCCGCATCCCCGCCAACATCTGTCCTTTCCTGACTTGTTAATTTTAGCCATTCTGACTGGTGTGAGGTGGTATCTCATTGAGGTTTTGATTTGGATTTCCCTGATGCCGAGCGATGTGGAGCACTTTTTCATGTGTCTGTTGGCCATTTGTATGTCTTCTTTGGAAAAATGTCTGTTCATGTCTTCTGCCCATTTCTTGATTGGATTATTTGTTCTTTGGGTGTTGAGTTTGATAAGTTCTTTATAGATTTTGGATACTAGCTCTTTATCTGATATGTCATTTGCAAATATTTTCTCCCATTCTGTCGGTTGTCTTTTGGTTTTGTGGACTGTTTCTTTTGCTGTGCAAAAGCTTTTTATCTTGATGAAATCCCAATAGTTCATCTTTGCCCTTGCTTCCCTTGCCTTTGGCGATGTGTCTAGGAAGAAGTTGCTGCGGCTGAGGTCGAAGAGGTTGCTACCTGTGTTCTCCTTTAGGATTTGGATGGACTCCTGTCTCACGTTTAGGTCTTTCAACCATTTGGAGTCTATTTTTGTGTGTGGTGTAAGGAAATGGTCCAGTTTCATTCTTCTGCGTGTGGCTGTCCAATTTTCCCAACACCATTTGTTGAAGAGACTGTCTTTTTTCCATTGGACATTCTTTCCTGCTTTGTCAAAGATTAGTTGACCATAGAGTTGAGGGTCCATTTCTGGGCTCTCTATTCTGTTCCATTGATCTATATGTCTATTTTTCTGCCAGTACCATACTGTCTTGATGATGACAGCTTAGTAATAGAGCTGGAAGTCCGGAATTGTGATGCCACCAGCTTTGCTTTTCTTTTTCAAGATTCCTCTGACTATTCGGGGTCTCTTCTGGTTCCATACAAATTTTAGGATTATTTGTTCCATTTCATTGAAAAAAGTGGATGGTATTTTGATGGGGATTGCATTGAATGTGTAGATTGCTCTAGGTAGCATTGACATCTTCACAATGTTTGTTCTTCCAATCCATGAGCATGGAATGTTTTTCCATTTCTTTGTGTCTTCTTCAATTTCTTTCATGAGTATTTTATAGTTTTCTGAGTACAGATCCTTTGCCTCTTTGGTTAAATTTATTCCTAGATATCTTATGGTTTTGGGTGCAATTGTAAATGGCATTGACTCCTTGATTTGTCTCTCTTCTGTCTTGTTGGTGTATAGGAATGCCACTGATTTCTGTGCATTGATTTTATATCCTGCTACTTTACTGAATTCCTGTATGAGTTCTAGCAGCTTTGGGGTGGAGTCTTTTGGGTTTTCCACATACAGTATCATACCATCTGCAAAGAGTGAGAGTTTGACTTCCTCCTTGCCTATTTGGATGCCTTTGATTTCTTTTTGTTGTCTGATTGCTGTGGCTAGGACTTCTAATACTATGTTGAATAGCAGTGGTGATAGTGGACATCCCTGCCGCATTCCTGACCTTAGGGGAAAAGCTCTCATCTTTTCCCCATTGAGAATGATATTCGCTGTAGGTTTTTCATAGATGGCTTTTATGATATTGACGTATGTACCCTCTATCCCTATACTCTGAAGAGTTTTGATCAAGAAAGGATGCTGTACTTTGTCAAATGCTTTTTCTGCATCTTTTGAGAGGATCATATGATTCTTGTTCTTTCTTTTGTTAATGTATTGTATCATGTTGATTGATTTGTGGATGTTGAACCAACCTTGCAGCCCAGGAATAAATCCCACTGGGTAGTGGTGAATAATCCTTTTAATGTACTGTTGGATCCTACTGGCTAGTATTTTGGTGAGAATTTTTGCATCCATGTTCATCAAGGATATTGGTCTGTAATTCTCCTCTTTGATGGGGTCTTTGTCTGGTTTTGGGATCAAGGTAATGCTGGCCTCATAAAATGAGTTTGGAACTTTTCCTTCCACTTCTCTTTTTTGGAACAGTTTCAGGAGAATAGGTATTAATACTTCTTTAAATGTCTGATAGAATTTCCCTGGGAAGCCATCTGGCCATGGGCTTTTGTTCGTTGGGAGATTTTTGATGACTGCTTCAATTTTCTTAGTGTTATAGGTCTGTTCAGGTTTTCTATTTCTTCCTGGTTCAATTTTGGTAGTTGATACATCTCTAGG